GACCGCCCGGGGTGGTGGTGGGGAGGAGGGCGGTGGCTGGAATCTGACCCGCAGCTTGCATGGCCTTGTACTGCAGGGGGGTGACGTGCTCAAAGCCGGGCGGCGGCACGTCCCAGTATTTGCGGACCTTCCTCTTCTTCTCATGGCGGGGGGAGCGAATCAATCGACCCCGCTCCTCTTTAGCGCCTCTGGCCAACGGTTTGCTTCGTCGCCGCCGGTCCCGGGATGCGCTCCGCTGGTCCCGGTTGCGCCTGTCGCGGCTCCGGCTGCGGCGCTTGCGGTCCCGGCTGCGTGAGCGGCTGTGGCTGCGCTTGCGGTGCCGGTTCTCCTTGTCTCGTCCTTGCTTATTCTCGATGAGCTGCCGCTGGAACTCCTGGGAGTCCGACATGCTGAGGCTGCCGCCTAAGGGCCCTGTGCAGCGCTCACCTCGCCTGGCCGCCTGCCCGCTCTAGCCGCTCGCTCCCAGCAGGTCCAGGGGTTCCCAAAGGTGTGGACGGAGTCTGCGAAGAATGAAGGACAAGGAGGCAGTGTTCAGCTGATCAGCATAGCCTGGTTCTCCAGCCAGGTTCTCTCCAGGTTCTCCAGCCAGGTTCTCCAGCTAGGTTCTCTCTAGGTCCCTAATTTTAAAAGGTCAAACTGGTCACAGTGTGGCGGTAGGACTGGACAAGAGAGGCGCAGTGAGTACACCGGTGAGAGGTGGTGCTGGCCTGAGCTGAGGCAGGGACCATGGGTTTGGAGAGGACAGGAGTGTGAAGACCAGAGAGAAGCCGTGGTTAACAATGTCCTGAAGGTAAAGCCAGCACAGGTGTAGGAGCTGGTACCTAGGGGGACTTTGGCTCTTTGGACATGAATAGAAGAGCTCGTTCTGCTAAAAGGGGGCTAGTTGCTATACTCTTGGTTTATCCCACACAGAGGGTAGGAAAGACTAAGAAGGGAGGAGGGCGGGAGAGTGGGTGCGGATCACATGTTGAGCAGGAGCTGACACACTTTGCTGAATCCCTGCAGCCACCCTGAGAGGTGAGGAGACTGAGTTTACATTTATTTGCCTGAAGTCGCACAGCCAGTAAGGGATGGGGCCAGAAGTCAGTTCTGCACCTGTCCCCCTAGGCTCCATTCTGAGCCCCTAGGAAGCTCTTGTCAGGTGAGGCCTCAGAGGAAGGTCACGTGGGCAGAAGCAGACCTGTGCTCTGGACTAAAGAATAGATTTTAAACGGCTGGAGGGCAGCCCCTGTTATAGGCCTCTGGTGCTGGTTGTGCTCCTGTAAAGGGCCAGGGCACCTCCTCCCTCCCTCCCTGTCCCCTTCCCCAGCTGCCTGCCCAAATCCTACCCCAGACACCAGCTGGGGTGAGTGTATGGCAAGGTGGACCATTAGGTAATGTGCAGATTTTCTTCAGATAGAATGACCAAGATTCAACCCAAAGCTGCAAGGACTGTGTGATTCCTCTATTTGTCCAGGATACTGTGTGTGCTCGCTCTTCTGACCCATCTTGGCCCATTTAAGGCCTCAGTTATGTTAGACTCAGTCTTCAGCTTAAATACCTGCAAAATGGAGATAACACATCCCCTGCCTCATCTACCAAATGGGGGCAATAGGTCAGATGAGTATGTGAGGATCTTAAAGCAGGAATTATATCAAAGTGAGCTTATGACCAGGGGTCTACATCCTCATTTTAATGCAGAGTGGGCAGAGTCCTCAAGGCAGGAAAATGCTCTTTTCTTCCAGCTTGTGGGCACCTTGGGAGGAACACCTGAGTGAAGGTCACCAGGAAGAGTTTTTCTCTGCTGCCAGCTATTTCCGGCTTGAAAATAACCAGAAATGCTATTCTCTGCTGCCATCTCCTGTGCCTTTTGGAAACAGCACCTGAGTAGAAGTCAGAAAAAGTTCTCTGCTGTCTCCTGTGCATGTTGAGAACAACACCTTAGAGGAGATTACCAGAAAAAGCTGGTTCAGAGGCCGGGCTAGGACCTGAGGCTAGCATCAGTCTTTAATGATGTCACACTGCACACTGACAAGTCACAGGCTTTCGTCTTGTGTTGGCCGTGGCAGCTCACAGTGAGTCTAAAGGTCTGAACACCACACTGGCCTGCAGGGAACAGACACTCATTCCAAACCCCTGTCTCCATTCCTTCTGAATTCTATCATTGACCTCTCCAGAGAGCAGTAGCTGCCGATGACTGGTTTCAGTTAAGTGTACGCCAACTTAAAACAGAATTATAAAAACATATTTACAGACATTTCACAGTGATCCTATAGTCAGGAGCAAAGACCTTTTTATTTTTATTAATCCTCAACCGAGGATATTTTTTCCATTGATTTTTAGAGAGTGGAAGGGAGGTAGAGTGACACAGAGAGAGAAACGTCAATGTGAGAGAGACACATCGATTGGTTGCCTTTCACATGTGGGATCAAGCCTGCAACCAAGGTATGTACTCTTTGCTGGAATCGAACCCAGACCCTTCAGTCCGAGGGCCAACACTCTATCCACTGAGCCAAACCCGCTCGGGCAAAGACCTTTTTATAAAAAGAGTTATATCTAGGGCTGTGCAAAATTCAAAACGATCAGATCCCTTTGAAAGAGTCCAGAGTCCATGAAATGAAAAGTGACCCATTGGGAAGCCCCAGTGTGCCAAAGATTGCCTTCCAGGAAAGGACCCTTATTGAGCACACTTGGCCTTGGAGCCAGAGGTTGAAAGGGCTCCTGATTCTAGGGCAGGGGTGGGCAAACTTTTTGACTCGAGGGCCACAATGGGTTCTTAAACTGGACCGGAGGGCCAGAACAAAAGCATGGATGGAGTGTTTGTGTGAACTAATATAAATTCAAAGTAAACATCATTACATAAAAGGGTACGGTCTTTTTTTTCAATAGTTTTATTCATTTCAAACGGGCTGGGTCCGGCCCGCGGGCCGTAGTTGGCCCACGGCTGTTCTAGAGGGAGAGGTGGCTGTGCAAGTCACTCTCACTCACTGAGGCTGGCTCCCTTGGTCGTGCTGGAAAGAGGTATTGTTTGTGGGCACTGGCTAGGCAGTTCTGCAAAAATACTCTAGGACTAGATTCTCAATTTGAGATGGCAAAAGATGGAATTCTTCAGAGGAGAGCAAGACATGGGGGACAAATACAGAATAAATACAAACTGGTCACACAACAGAAACTGAAGAGCATCCAGGGAAGGTCTGGTGACCAGGGAGGCAGGTTGACATCACCTAATGGCTACAAGCAAAGGGATGACATGCCCTCATGTTCAGAGAATAGGGCTCCTACAAACCCAGAAGCAGCAAGGCCAGGTGGGCGACACCAAGGCTGATTTCAGGACCAACTGCATGACTAATGACCCCCCTGGTACTGGCTAATCAGTGGAGACCACCACCCTGAAAGGACACACCTGGAAAGCTGGGATTATATCTAGGGCTGTGCAAAATTCAGAAGGATCAGATCCCTTTAAAAGAGTCCAGAGTCCATGAAATGAAAAATGACCCATCGGGAAGCCCCAGGGTGCCAAAGATTGCCTTCCAGGAATATTCCATTGAGATCCTCCCCAGAGACCTCCCCTAATTTCCCCACCTTTAGAGAGCAGATAAGAACCCTTAGGACAGAGGACCCAGCCTCCATCTCTCTCTCTCTCCCTCACCCTTTCTCTCTTAGGCCTTTCACCCTCTCCTTCCCCCAGGCACCTATATCCTTGTTTTCTTTCTCCTAAATTCCAAGGGCCCTTTGACTCTCTAACTTGTTTCCTGAGCCCACACAGCCTGGTTGTCTCACTTTTTCTATCTCTGTGACTTTCTAAATAAACTTTGTCTTGACTCTAAACTTTCTTTCTTCCTTTCTTTCTTTCTTTCCTTCGTTCCTTCGTTCCTTCCTTCCTTCCTTCCTTCCTTTCTTTCTTTCTTTCTCTCTTTCTCTCTCTCTCTCTCTCTCTCTCTCTCTCTATCTCTCTCTCTCTTTCTCTCTCTCTCTCTCTTTTTCTCTCTTTCTTTCTTTCCTTTCTTTCTTTCTTGTGTGTGTGCGCGCGCCGTCACTCGGATTCTAAACTTTCTTAGCCCCAGAACTCAAGCAGTGAGGTTGCTGAATCAAGCAAGGTTCAATCATTGAATCTGGTGCCAATTTGCCTCTAGGAGATCAAGGCTAGATGCTACAGGGCCTTATAAGTTAAGAGGGAAAGGAAATCAGAAGGGTGTAAAGGAGGGTGGAGAAATAATATTGCTTTGTAGAAAGTTCACTCTGACTTCAGTGTTATACAACAGATAAGGACGGGGCAAGCCTGGGAGCAGGCAAGCAGCTGGCAGGCTGCGGCAGTGAACCAGCTGAACAGGGAGGGTGGCTAAAATTAGAGTGACTGCAGTAGGGATGAACAGAAACAGGAGGAATTCTCAGGAAAGATGTTAGACTGAACAGATATATCTTCATTTTCTTCCTCCTGAAACTTTAAAAACACAAATGGGATTGTTTGTTTCAAAAACATTTTGGAAGGCACCAAAAAAATGGACAAGTACTAGATGATTTAGAAAACCAGTAACGAGGATAACTCAAAGGCAATTTTATTGGCACCATAGACTCACCAAGAGGTTTAGGACCTGATTGCCTCAGGCACCTCTGGAAGTGGCAGTGAAGGGGACGAGAGAAGTCCTATAATTAGGATTTGTCCCTTAAAAAAAAAAAAAATTAGGATTGGTTAAAACTGCTTAAGAAGCAGTTAAGTCCCCTCCCTGACTTGAGTTACTGGAATACTACCCATCCCCCTTCTTGGGAAAAAGACTGTAAAACAAAAGGAAGATTATGCAAAAACTGTACATACTGAATAATAAAGCAGTTTATCTCACAACCCCAGCCCAATTTCTCTACTCAGCTCCAAGAACTCTAGCTGCCGAGACTTCAGCCTCTAGGCAGGAGGATATTAGGAGAATCTTCTTTGGGTCATGGGAACAAAAGAACTAGAGATACTGAAATCAGGGTTTCCCAATAAGAGGACGCAGCCAGATCCACCCACAAGCCCCAGAACACACCTTCCACTTGCCCAAGTACTTCTTCAGCACTTGCTTTGGATCTTCTTGTCTTACCTCAGCTCGAAATGAACCCCGACTGTTCCTGCTGGGTGGCCCCTGCCCTTGCACTGCTCCTGCAAATGCAAAGAGTACAAATGCATCTCCTGCTAGAAGAGCCGCCACGCCTGCTGATCCACGTGTTGTACCACGTGCGCCCAGGGCTTGTACCAAGTCTGCAAAAGGGCATCAGACAAGTGCAGACGCTGAGCCTGACATTGGAAAAGCCAGTTCCCACATGGAAAAACCTGTATTTTTAAATTGTTTCCTATTACCCTGACTTTGGTTGGTACATTCCTGTTTCTATGAAATCTTTCTGACAATAAACTCATATAGACTAAAACAATAACAACAATAAAACCCCACCAAGGCCTATTTATATGCTCTGAGCTCCCAATCACCTCTTTAGTCCCCACACTTTAAAAAAGATCTTTTAACATGAACGAGAGCAAAACAAGACACACACAAAGGAACAGGAAGTAGCAACTTAGAAGAAATAGCCCACTCGGGAAGGCAAAACAATAAAATACCTACGGTCTGGCCAGTGTGGCTCAGTGGTTGAATGTGGACCTATGAACCAGGAGGTCACAGTTTCATTCCCAGTCAAGGTATATGCCTGGGTTGTGGGCTCGATCCCAGTGTGGGGCATGCAGGAGGCAACTGATCAATGATTCTCTCTCATCATTGATGTTTCTCTCTCTCTCTCCCCCTTCCTCTCTGAAATCAATAAAAATATATTTTAAAAATATCTATGAATAATATCTTCAGAGGGATAAAAGGATCAACAACCAAGAATAGCATCAGGTGCATTTAAAAAGAAAAGAAATTCAAGAAACAAAGAAGAAAGTCAATAACCCCTGGAGTGAAGAGAGGCCCCACTTTTGAGTGTTGTGTGTCGGAGGTCATGTTGATTAGTTGGAGAGAATTAAGAGGCCAAAACCGGTTTGGCTCAGTGGATAGAGCGTCAGCCTGCGGACTGAGAGGTCCCGGGTTCGATTCCGGTCAAGGGCATGTACCTGGGTTGCGGGCACATCCCCGGTGGGGGATGTGCAAGAGGCAGCTGATCGATGTTTCTCTCTCATCGATGTTTCTAACTCTCTCTATCTCTCTCCCTTCCTCTCTGTGAAAAATCAATAAAATATATTAAAAAAAAAAAAAAGAATTAAGAGGCTAAGATTTATAAAAAGAAAAAGTAAAGAAAAGTGAAAGTCAATAGAAGAAAAATAAATGTAAGAAAATTCCCAAAAAGTAAAGCAAAAAAGACAAACATGGAAGCTAAGAGACCAACCTAAGAAAATTAGAAATTTCTAGGCAAGGAAATCCTGTATCTGAATATTAAGAGTTCTGCTAAGAATAGGCACAGAGAAAATGCAGGGGAGGGAATCACCAAGGGGAAAAGAATTTATTCCCAGAAATGAAGGATACAAGTTTTCAGATTGGAGTTGAGTACCCGGTACAGTTGGTGAAAACAGACACACACCAGAGTGTTAGGACTATAGGGCAATATAACCTTAATGGCCTTTTGTAAGCTTCCCACCACAGGAGGACAAAGACCAGAAAAACTTGCAGGACACCAGGAATCAGACCAGATAGAAATTGTCCTAAAGACACCTGATTGCACACCTGCATTCCATCTGCATTCTAAGCCCACCAACTCAGCCCCCAGACCCACTGATGACAAGAGCTTCCCGCCAGTGACTACATATACGGACGAAACTCCAGCTCCTGGGTGCTATATCCATCATCTACCAAATGTCTCCTGTGCAGCCCTTCCCTTCGGTTACCCCACCCCCCACCCCCTTTCCTTAAGTAAATTCAATTTTCTTTCATCGCAGTCAGAGATGGCTATTCAGCTTGCCCACACACCCCGATTTTAGTATTTCACAGAGCATGGAGACAAGATCCCTAAAGGTTCCAAAAGGAGAAAAACGGGTCAAAGGGAAAGGAATTCAGCTCCGAAACTATTTACCTCCCAAACATACTGTCTAAGAAAGCAATGGAGGAGATGATCCAGCCAAATGAAGGAATAAGCTAAGAGAGTTCTTCCTCTGTGGGATAGAAAACATGATACTGTTGAAGAAAAGGAAACTGGCCCACGGTGGAGCCCCTAGAACAGCAAATCAAGACTTACTTGCAGTTTGAGCTCCTCCCAGGAATGTGGCCTTAAACCAATCAGTCTGGAATTTCCTGATCGACTCTAGTGAGGTAATCTGCTTGATAAGATCCTCAGCCGTTCCCAAAAGGTAGGTGACTTCGCCTGAAACCGTCCTTTTCTTTTGCTAATAACTCCCTTGTCCTGTCTTCCCGCCTATAAAAGCCTTACATTTTGTACAGCTACTAAGAGCACCTCTCTATTTATTAAATAGGATGCTGTCCAGTTCATGAATTATTCAATAAAGCCAGTTAGATCTTCACATTTACTCAGTTGAATTTTTGTTCTTTTTTTATTTTAGTTCTTGTTCTTTAACAGATTTGGTGGCAGCAATGGGATTTGAAGTGAATTTCTGAAGGTATTCAGGGACAACAAGAAACACAGGCATGGGACTCCACAAGCCCTTCGAGTTCAAGGTCTTTCTTATCATCTTGGAGGGCCATGTTTATTTTTTATTTTTATTTTTTTATTTTTTATTTTTTTAAATATATTTTATTGATTTTTTACAGAGAGGAAGGGAGAGAGACAGAGAGTCAGAAACATCGATGAGAGAGAAACATCGATCAGCTGCCTCCTGCACATCCCCTACTGGGGATATGCCCGCAACCCAGGTACATGCCCTTGACCGGAATCGAACCTGGGACCTTTCAGTCCGCAGGCCGACGCTCTATCCACTGAGCCAAACCGGTTTCGGCGGCCATGTTTATTTTTAAACTATAGGCCTGGTGCACAGATTCATGCACATTGAAAGGAAATTAATTAGAAGAAATATTTTAGAGGCTGGGGAGGGACAGAAGGAGATTGGCCAGCCAGAGAGGGACCGAGGGAGGTTGGCTCCTGGTCATGTCTGGCCTGTCTCAGCCAGTCGAAATAGGCCAGACCCCAGCAGCAAGCTAACCTACCGGTCGGAGTGTCTGCCCCTGGTGGTCAGTGCACATCATAGCAACTGGTCAAACTGGTCAGACACTTAGCATAGTAGGCATATCTATATATATAAAAGCCTACTATGCTAAGTGTCTGACCAATTGGTCGACTGTTTGGTTGACCAGTCAACCAGTCACTGTGATGCACACTGACCATGAGGGGGCAGACGCTCCGACCAGTAGGTTAGCTTGCTGCTGGGGTCTGGCTGATCAGGACTGGGTGAGACGGCCCCGATTGACCTTGATCACCAGCCAGGCCGAGGGACCTCAACCATGCACGAATTCGTGCACCGAGCCTCTAGTGCAGGGGTAGGCAAACTTTTTGACTCGAGGGCCACAATGGGTTCTTAAACTGGACCGGAGGGCCGGAACAAAAGCATGGATGGAGTGTTTGTGTGAACTAATATAAATTCAAAGTAAACATCATTACATAAAAGGGTACGGTCTTTTTTCTCAATAGTTTTATTCATTTCAAATGGGCCGGATCCGGCCCGCGGGCCGTAGTTTGCCCACGGCTGCTCTAGTGTGTATATAAATTCATGCACAGGTAGGGTCCCTAGGCCTGGCTGGCAATCAGGGCTGATCTGTGGGGCAACCAGTGGGGCAATGGGGGGGGGGGGGTTTGCTGCTGGCACCCGTGTTGGCTGGCCTAGGGCCTGCGGGCTGGGGGCAGCTCCTGCATTGAGCGTCTGCCCCCTGATGGTCAGTGCTCATCATAGCAACCAGTCCACCAGTTCCACCATTTGGTTGATTTGCATATTAGGCTTTTATTATATAGGATATTGCCAGTGCACATCATATGTATCGGCCGGTTGGTCAGTCAGATGGTCAGATGGATGTACGGTCGGTCACTTAGCCTTTTATATATATAGATGAGATGGTGTAGAACAATGCATACAGTTGGCTGTCTGCATCGCAGATTTCCAACCAGATTGAAAATACTGTCCTGTTAGCGGTGAAATGGCACCAGGTTGTTATCAGACCTCAATTCAGCAACCTCAGTACTTGAGTTCAGTAAAAAAAGAATTCAGAGCCAAGGAACTCAAATTATAAGAGAAAGTTTATTTAGAAAGTCACAGCGGTAAAAAAAAACAAAACTGAGCCAGCTGGGCTGCATGGGCTCAGGAACTGAGTTACAAAAGCAGAAGAAGGGCCCTTGTTGCTTAGGAAAAAGAAGGGCAGAAAGATGTGCCTCAGAGAAGGAAAAGGGGAAAGAGGAGGTTGAGAGAGAGAGAGAGAGAGAGAGAGAGAGAGAGAGAAAACACACTGGGTCCTTGGTCCTAAGTGTTTTTATCCCCTCTTTAAAGGTGGGGTCTTAGGGGAGATCCCAGGGGAGGATCTCAATAGAATATCCATCAGCTTTTCCAGGTCTGTCCTTTCAGGGTGTGGTCTCTACTGATTGGCCAGTGCTAAGGGAGGGTTATTAGTCATTGCATCTGAGCCTGATGTCAGCTAAGGTGTCCCTTCATCTGGTTTTGCTGCTTTTCTGGGTCCTGAGCTGAAACAAATCTGTGGCCTAAGTGTCATCTCTAGTTTGACCAAAAACTCAGCAGACCCGAGGCTTTGTTCTTAAGATTACTTGATGTGCAAAAAAAAAAAAGGAAAGAAAAAAAAAAAGATGACTTGATGTGGGTCAGAACCTCACGTCCTGAGGACTTGATGCTGAAGGGAGTGGTCCTGCAAGGACTTGTATGGGAGTCCTGTGAGGCTACTCTTCAGTCCCCCTGTTCCTCCTTTAAGGGGGGCTATCACATGACCAGGATATTCGAGGGGAGGCACGGTCACCCTGGAGCGAGGTCCCAGCCTAGTTTGTCCGGTTGCTGGTACCTGGGGCTTTCTGCTCTGGTGACTTCTGTACCTGGCCTATTGTTCCTGCTCTTCTCACGTCTATCTACATGCCTACTCTTTTCGGTCCGCAGGTGGTTGAACCTGAGGATGCAAAACCTGGGGATATGAAGGGCCAACTGTATATTCATTGAAAAAAAAAAAAATCCCAGTATAAGAAGACCCAAGTAGTTCAAACCCGTATTGTTCAAAGGTCGACTGTGATTTGCCATGAAGCTAAAATATGAGACGTCTCCATTTACTACCAGGGACTTGGCAACCCTCTCCGCTCAACAAATGAATGCGTGAGAACGTGGTGGTAATGCTCTGGATTTGCAACTCGATTTTGTCAACTCACGCAGACTCACAAGAGCCGGGTGTGTAACCCAATGTGCCAATTAATCAGGTCACAGCGGGAAATGCAGGGACCCCCCTCGGCCCTAAGGAGGGCTGGAGCCCCGAGTTCCCTTCTTTTCCCGCTTTCAAGACTCCGTTCCCATCACCCCCCCCCCCCCCCCAACACACACACAACCCGTGCACATGCCCCATTTCCAGTCGATGAGACTGGCCCCTTCCAGGCCAGGCTAAACAAAGTGAACTTGGACATTTCCCAAACTTCCTCATTGAAAGGTGATCATAGATGTGATCTTCTGTGAGTGCAGACATGGGTGTGGGGGGGAGGTGGGCGGGCCCGAGGGCTGCTGCACCCATTAGTTTTGCCCGGAGTCGTTTCGGAGGGGGGTGTCTGGGCTGCGCCTCGGGGCTGCGGTGCCTCCGCCCCGAGCGCGGCCGCGCGCCGGGAACTAATTAGTGGGACTTGGTGTCGCCCTCGTCGCTTTGGCGCCGGGTGTCGAAGAGCAACGCGGCTCTGCCCGCCGGGCCGGGACGCCGGGCGCCGCGCCACAGCCTCCCCGAGGCCGGCCTGCCCGTCCCTCCGCCCGCTTCCAAGATGGCGGCGCGCTGCCGTCGCGTCGCGGCCCGCCCCGCCCCCGGGCCCGCCGGCCGCCCCGCCTCCTCGTGCGCGGGGCCGCGCCGCGCGCGCCCGCCGCCCCTTCCGCGCGAGCTCCACCCAGGTCGGCAGCAGCGCGGTCGGCGGCGCCTATTTCCCGCCATTGTGCGAAGTGGAGGTTGGGGGCCCGGACGCGCCGCCTTCCCGTGGCCGGCAGCTCCCGGGCGGCCGCCGCCACCGCCGCGGTCCCCTGAGGCCCGGCGGCCCGCGCCACGCGTGTCGCCCTGCGTGGGAGGGCGAGGAGCGGCCGAGCCCCTGAGGAGGCGCCGCGGCGCGGGACGCCGCTCGGCGAGATGCCGTGCGGGGAGGACTGGCTGAGCCACCCGCTCGGGATCGTGCAGGGCTTCTTCGGTGAGTGGCGGCGCGGGGCGGGCCGGGCCGGGCGGCGGCCGACTGGGCGAGCCGGGGGCCGGGCCCGCGCGGGGCGACCTCGGGGGCTCGCGCGGCCCAGACGGACCGCGCCGCCGGCGCCGAGACCCCGTCCCCGAGCCGGGCCGCAGGTGCCTCCCACCTGCCGGATTCGCGGTCCGCCGGCGGCCACGGGGACGCCGCGAGGAGCGGGCGGCCGGCCGGCCGTGATTGACGGCGGCGCTCCCTGCCTGCCCCGCCGGGGCCCGAGCCCGCGGGCGGGCGGGCGGGCGGGCGGGCGGCCGGGCTCGGAGGGGTCCCGGAAGCCGCGGAGGGCCCGCCGGGACGGGGCGAGGAGCGCCCTTCGCCGGGGAGCCTGCGGGATATTTCAAAACTTCCGGTGTGGCGGGGCGCCGGCCGCTCGCCGCCCGAGTTGGCACGGGCCGCCGAGACCCAGCCTCCCCGCTCGGGATGAGCCGGGCTGGGACCGCTTCCCGCTTCTGTGAGGGCGACGGCAGACCCTGCCCGGGGCCGCTCCGCGGGCCGAGCTCCCGAGCCCCCGCTGGAGACGCGCACACGCGGGGCATCGCAGTTGCAGGTGCTGTGACGGCTGCTCTTCTGCTCGGGGCGCGGGGGGGTCAGGGAAGGGTGTTGACGGTTAACTCGGCCGCGGCCAGGAGCGGAGGCAAACGCGTGGGAAACCCCTGGCGGAAGGGGAGCCCTAGCACCTGGCCGCCCGCAAGTCACTTAGACGGGAGAGTGGCCTTAGCTCCTGGAAAGCCTCGTGCCTCGTGGGGTATCGCGGAGAACCACCCGTCAGAAGCTGAATGCTCCCCGGGGCCAAAGCTGGTGGTGTG